GTGCTGACAAGAAACTGTCAAGATCCAGGTGATAATTCTGGGGGTGGCCCGCTCGTGACATGCATCGAGCACCCTGCACAATCGGTTCTGGACGTGACTCCATTTCAATGTTGAAATATAGAGAGAAGTATTCAAGTTCACTCCATCAATACATTTCCATGAATAATTTTTAAGTACTTCATTTGAAGAATGGGGCAGGAGTAAATTTTAAAATGAGCAGATCCATCCGTGTTCTTCCTACTCACGTGAACACTGTCACACACACACAGCACACACACAGCACACGCTGTCTTTGAAGGCCACTGGTGGGATTCCTGCCATCACTGAGACCACGTCCTCTCTCCCCAGGAGGGGCCCTAGAAGAGGGTCCTTTGAGTCAGGACCACACTCCCGTCCCTGTGGACCTCTTGTTTGCGGCTGCATCCTCAGGATGCACTCACATCCCCAAATCCTGCAGTGGATGTGGTGGGGACATAGCCTAGTGACCCCAACCCCTCAGGTCAGCTATGGAGACAACTTGACTCCCAGGAAGAGACACCAATGGCACCTGGTACAAGTCCTGTCCAAGGACTCCTGCCCTTCCCCTCTGCCAGAGGCCTGCACCCTGGCAGTGACACTGCAGCCACCCCTTCATTTTATAAAAGGAAGCAGTAGGAAGGTCTGTGCACACGTCACACTTCGACAAGTTCCAGATGCTTTTTAAACCACCGCATCACGGAACAGCGCGTGGCACAGCTTCTGAAAAGCATGCCACGAGTCCATCACCTTGCCACAGGACTCACTGCCACTGCTGGCTGTGTCTAAAGTGAAGGACAGTCACTTCCCTTATCCCAGGCACACATTCCAGGACCCCCAGGAGACACAGAATCCCCGACAGTACTGAGACCTATATATGTTACATTTTCTGCTCTGCACATACACCTAAGATAAAACTTAATTTATAAATTAGTAGGAAATTAAAATGATAAAATAAAACCCTTATGACAATATACTGTAATAAAAGTTACTAAAAATTTATGAGCTATTTATTTCTAGAATTTTCCATTTAATATTCCGGATTGAAGTTGACCAGGAATACCTGAAATCTAAGAATGAAAGCCCACAGGAAAGGGGTGTGACTGTAAACCTCTACTGCCCTAAGTCGTCATCCTTCCGCACTTGCCTCACTACGGTCCGCTTTTCAAAGGCACCCAGAGCCGTCTTTTCAAAAACTAAAGCCTGCCAACTCCAGCCTGATTCTCTGACTTCACAGCCCCCACCACCTGCTGCCCGCCCCCCCAAACACTGTTCCCTCAGACCTTCCCGAGACGTCTCCTTCCATACTCCTGGTCTGCAGAGGCCAGCACCCCGCCTGCCAGCTCCTGACTGGTATAATTTCTGTGTGGCATTCATAGTGTCGGAAATTGACTAGCTTATTTATTTCCTCATGGCCATCTATGTCCTCAGCACAAATACAAAACAAACAGCCTCACAAGAACAAGGATCTCATCTAAGTTCAGGATCACTGCGGGCTTAGGAGACAGCTAGCAGATGCTTACGGGTGGAGAGGGGTAGGGTTGCAAGATCAGAGAGATCGAGGGCCAGGACAGAGAGGGAGAGGGGAGCAGAAAGGGCGAAGGACAGAGTGGGTTGGGGAGGAGGGAAGAGTCCAGTCACAGGACTGGCTACTGCCTGGAGCAGTTGTTGCTGCCCAGGTGTCTCCTGGGGCTTTAGCACAGGAGACCAATCAGAACGGGGAGGAGAGGAGGCAGAAGAGAGACCATAGTGTGCAGCTCATGCTGCAAGAAGGCCGCTGTGCTGGGGGTGGAAGGCTGCACAGTGCCCTGGAACCCACTCATTGTGCTGTTTTGCAAGAGTCTAAAGCACCTCTGGCTCTGGCAGTGGAGGTAGAAGCAGTGCTCTGGAGGTCCAGGAGCACACGGGGCCAAGACGGTGCCCTCTGTGCAGGAACAAGGCTGGAAAAACATGCAGGAGAGAACCCCACCAGGTGTGGGAAAAGATAGTCAAATACTGGGGGCTTCCTTGGCCCCCAGGGTATAGCGTGGTGAACTTCCAAGATCAAGACCAGAGTTTGCCCCTGTGCTGGAGACCAGACTTCTCCACTTGCAGCTGCAGAAGCTTCCTGGGTCCTGGACACATGGAGTTGAGCTCCTTCCTACCTGGCTTCCAAAGGAACACCAGCTCCAGCAAAGCATGGAGACAAAAAAGTGGCAGGTCAGAATTGCCACATGCCAGAAGCATGCTCGGGCGTGACCTGGGATTTGCACGGCAGACACTGCTTTGAATAATAAGTGAAAGATCCTGAAAGCCTAGAGGTCACCGAGCCAGATGGAGACATAACCCAGTCCACTTGTCAGAAATAAGCACAGAACAAGAGCAAGAAACCTGGATCCGTGCTCCCTGGGGGCAGAGCCAGGGGGCCTCAGAGAAGGACCTGAAGTCTCTGCAACTGAGAGGCAGAGCTCAGTTGTCACCTGTGGCAGCAGTGATGGTACAGCTGGGGCCCACCATAGGGCAGAGCCTTGGGGACAAGGCCAGCTGAGCACAAACACTAGCTGAGCAGCAGTGACCTGCTGCTTCAGGGACTATGTGGCAGAAACTACTCTATCTCTGTCACACTCAGGCCAGGAGGGCAAAGCTGGCGAATTGAGAAGCCCAAATATGGCAGGTAGGATGGGGTGGCTGGGGCGCTCTGTGTTATGTTACTTGTGCCCAGTGCTGGAGGGAGGGGCAGGTTCCAGGCCTGCCCGGCTGTGAAGTTCCATGTAGTAGCACAGGAGCAGATCCCCCAGAGTGTGTGTGAGCACTGTCAAGTTACTTTGGAAAGCACTACACCCTCTAGTTTTAATACAGTAAAGCCTCTGAGAAATCCTGCAACAAAACACATTTTTAATAAATCCTTGGTTAACCCTGGGTTTTGTTTTTTTTTTACTTTTTAAAGCCATGGAACCTTTCTGCCATGGATTCTTCCCCAAATCCTAGATGTGTGGGTTGTGCAGAGGGAACTTAAGGAAAGGACCCTTCGGTGGAAGCAGCCTCAGTCTGCCTAGTTCTTTCAACATCCTCAGTGGTGACTTGCACCTAGAGTGGACCCCCACACACCTGTGTCCAGAAAGATACCTCAGGAGGCCCTAGAAGGTCTCCACACTTGGTGGCTTCCTCTATAACATGAGCAAACCTGGCCTTGTGACCTCCCCAGGCCCATCCGTCAACAGTTCCTAACTGGTGCTCACCATTCATCTTTAATGTGAAATGAGGGACAGGGTGGGAGAAGATAGCACTTGTCTCATTCTGGGGACCAAACCAACACCATCCCAGAGGCCTCTGGGCAGCTCCTGCCTGCTTGGGCCCTCACTTATTCATAGCACCTCACCTCCAACAAGGCCCCAGTTCACTGGTCCCCAGTCACAACTCTAGCTCTGGGGTCCACTGCCCTGGGCAGCCTGCATTAATTGACTTCACTACACAGATAACCCCCTTTAAAAGAAGCACCAAGACTTCATCTTAGCCATTTTGGACACCAACCATCCAAGGATAGATCGCACACAGGGCTCCATCTCAAACAGAGCTGGACTTCAGCATTCAGGCTCTGACCTTCCATTGCTAACCAGGTGACACGATCAGGTCATCCTTGCCAGGCACAGAGGGCAGTGGGAGTCTATAGCAAGTGACCCCTAAAGTCCTTGCTTCAATTTTGATAGTTTTACTAGAGAGAGGATGTAGAAACTACCAGAAGTCTCAGGACCCCCAGAGAGCCTGTCTCATCAAGACTTTGCATGAAGCAAAAGTGCCCAGTCTCTGAGCAAGCACCAAAGGCTCTTCCTGTCACTGGTGTGTGTGACATTTAGTACCTGTCTTTGTGATAATCACCTACCTGTTCTGAGTCTCCTGCCTTACTTTCTGCTCCTTGGCTGGCTTCCTGAGAGTTCATTTTCCTAAATAATTGAGTCATCAAGGAGCAGGTTGAGAATCCCTAATCCAAAAATTCAAATGCCCCAAAATCCAAAACCTTTGGCACACCAACATGCTGCTCAAAAAGTTTCAGATTTGGGATTACTCCGAGTTCAGATTCTTGGACGAGGTTACGCTCCACCTGTGTATCACAGCTACTGCCAATGACACGTGAGCTAGAGTGGCAGCTGGCCTTTTAGGGCTTCCTTCTTCTTCTCGATTGCCACCCCCCACACCCACTCTTTTTTTTCTGGAGTCCCAGGGGAAGGCTGGCCTGCTGTCCCATCATGTCTGCCTTTCAGCTATACCTTTTTGAGCTCATTTGAGTCTGATCAACACAATTGGCTCCTCCCCAAGATCCAAACCAATGCCACATCACAGCTATTCTGACAAGCCAGGCCCTCTGCCAGCAAAGCCGGGTACCTTCAAACAGCACAAAGCCTTCTTCTCCTTGGCCCAGCTACCCCATCGGCTGGGCTCCCTGCAGCGGAAGCTCACGACCATCCCCATCAATGTGCTCTGTGTTCTGCCAGCACATAGCAGCCCTCTGCCCACGGCCAACCCTGGAACCCCCATTCATGTCCTTCTGATAGAGCCCCCTTTCAATGGCTGCCCTCCTTCTGCTTCCTCCCTGCTACACAGAAGAGGGCTGTAAAGTGGAACTTTCTCTAAAGGAATAACGGAGGTTAGCTTTCCTTCCTTTCTGTTTTCCTGTTCTTGATCTAAATTTGGCCATTGGAAAGAGAGTGGAAGCAGTTAAATGGACCCAGGTCATGACCTTACATGACACCCTGTGGCCAGAGTTACCTCGTGTACTTTTTCTACTGGAGTGGTGAGAGGGCACACCTAAAACTTATCACCCACCCCAAAAATTCCTGCCAGGAGATGAGTGCATAGCATTTCAGGTCATCCAATTCAAGCCTCTCAAATTAAAATGGGGACACTGAGGCCCAAAGAGATGAAGGGATAAACTTAGGCCATCCAGTGAACTTCCAGGGGGACATGAGGGTCACCTTCCTTAGGTGCAATGAGAAAAGAGAGCATCTTACCGTCATCCAAGTAGGTCTGGTCCAAGTTCTGCTCCTGTTTAATTGTTACTCCGGTGGGTAAGACTTCCTTTTGGTCACTGACTGGGGGTCCGTTTTTGGCAGCTCTTTGGCTTGTGGCACTCTGCTGCTGAATGACGGTGGGGTAGGAAGCTGGGCTTAGCCTCTGACCTTGACCGGTGGGAGGCGGGCCGGGCCTGGCGGAACCAGGCCCGAAGTTCTCGCAGTACATGATGTGCTGGAGCTCCTGCTGGCTCCCACAGCGCAGCTGCTGGTTAGTGGGTGAATAGTGGATCACCGGCGAGGCCTGCTGGTTGGCCGGGGTGGAGTGGGGCAGGGCTGAGCTCTGGCCCTGGGAGCCCGCATGCACCAGCACTGAACGGTGGGCATCGGCCAGGGCCAGGGGAGCCGCCATCAGGGCTGGCTGCTGGTAGCCCAGCAGGCTGGGGCTCAGGCTCTTGGTCCTCTGATAGAGGACAGCTGCGGGGTTCTGCTGCTGATAGCGGGCATCAGGAGATGACAGCCCTGAGCGGAACTGCTGGCAGGGAGCCATGGTGGCCACGAGGCAGGATGGGGACTCAGCCAGCATTGGGTGTTGTGGGTAATAAGGCTGGCTCCCCAGGCCTCCGTGGGTGGGGGTACAGATCAAAGAGGGGTCGTACTCGTCGGTGGGCTCCGTCTTGATGGCTGGGACTGTGAGGAGAGAAAGGCACACGCTACATCAATTGCAGAGAGCCGTGCATATGCAGAGGGGCCCAGAGGACATGTCTGAGAGCCCCCAGTGGGTGCCCCCAGTGGTTGGCCTTTGCCGCTCATTAGCAGTGGGCTTAAGGTTCCCTGTGCAATTGTGCTCAGTTGGAAACTTTACCCTGGCAGGCAGTGACCTGAAAGTACAGGTCTTTCCAATATTAGAAGGTGGCGGTAGGTCTGACTCAGCCCTGGAGCCTTGTCAGCGAATGTCCCCCAGGTGAGGACTCAGAGAAGAATATTTAGGATGATACCTTTTCCCAACCCCCATTCCCAGAGTTCCTGTCCTAGTCCCTGCACCCACTTGTCACCTTCTGAAACGCTGCCCAAAGCTGCCCAAACCTCGTGTGTCACCTGACACCTATCTCAGGATGTCAGCCCCTCCCAGGGATGACTTCTGTCTGCTCTGTTCAGTGCTGGGACTTCTGAGCCCCAAAGAGCAGTTGGGACTTACTGGGCACTTAGGTTTTCTCCAAACAACAGAATGGGCAGCCAGCAACCATGACCCACTTCTGGTCAGCAGTGCTTCAGGGTAGTGAGACCTGCTGGCTGGCTCAGGCTCAGTTTCCCCATCTGTTATCTGGCAGTGACAATCTAATGGGGTTGCAGGAGGATTAAATAAGACGATGTGCAGGGTGCAGAGCACAGTGACTGGCATGCAGTAAGTGCTCAATGCCTGCACTTACTACTGTACTGTTAACACCAACCACTTCTATGATTAGTGTTGGCTGCTGCTTCTTTCTCCCTGGCCCGCACCCATCACCAAAATGGTCCTCCAACATCACAATGGAGTCATCTCCAGGACAGGGGTGGGGGACCTCCATCTTCACTGCAGTCAATGAGTCAGTAGTGGAACTGGAACCCTGGGTGGGGTGGGGTGGGGTGGGGTGGGGCGATCTCTCAACTGCTGAGGCTGGAGGAGGCACGCAGGGCTACAGGGCTGACTCCAGCCACCAATATCCTTTCTCAGGATGCCACTCCAAGGCCAGCTTGTCAGTCCCTGACCCTGCTCAGCCAGCCAAGAGCCGTGGCTGGGCCCAGGAGTTGTTACCACAAAGGAAAAGAGAGTGCCATAGAACAATTAACCGAAGAACTCCACGTGAAAAGGAGCTTTTCATCTGTCTCCCTCATTGCTGGCCTGTAAGCTAAGAGCGGGTGTCTGATACTCAAACAGGTCCTGGATAAAGCCGTCATCGCCATTCTTAGGTCTGCCAGAACCCGTGGGAACAAGACCTCTTGCCTGGCTGTCCATCCTGTAACTCCACCCACGGCAAGTTCAAGGGCACGTCCACCTTTGACCCTGAGTACAATCAAATCTAGGACGGGGCAGAAGCCATCTGCTTCAACCTTCAATTCACCTGTCCTTCTTCTCCCGCTCCGCCCCCCCCCCGCCCCCCCCAAGAAAACATTAATGGCAAGGAAAGCCAGCATCTGCCATCAGCTGGCCATGCTCTGTCCCGAGTGTTTATATGCATTTGATTTCCATGACTCTTACAAGGAAGGGACCAGCTGACATATGAGAAAATGGAGGCTCAGAGAGGTTGGGTCACCTGGCCCAGACAGAAGCGGACCTGAGGAGTCCTGAGTCCCACACCTCTGCTGCCTCTCAACACGGAAGGGGAAGGGGCATCAGAGAGAACTCCTCACCTGGGTGGTAGGTAAAGTGCTGGGGCTGACTTCGTTTTCTTTTCCCATTGATGACATAGAAGTTGACCTTCACAGGTATGCGGGTGTGCTTGTTCCGATACTCAGGGATCTCCACAAAAAGCATGTTCTACAAAGAAGCAGCAGTCATGAACCTAACTGCAGCAATGTCTCAACTCCCACCCAGGCCCTGAGCACACCCAGCCAGCTCGGTAACAGCAGAGAGTCTTGACACGGTCCCTGTGTTTACAAGCAAAGTTAGATTTAGAGGGAATTTAACTTTCCAGCTGGGCAAGGAAAGATGCTCTATCAGAGGACATTAAAATGTCACCACTGCAAATCAGCCGGTTGTGCATCAGCTCCATATGTGCTGAGTATGGGTGAGGACCCGCCAAGCAGGGGGGAGGCTCTGAGGAAGAAAGGAGGGCAAGAGGGAGAGAGGGAAAGAGGGAGGAAGGGAGGAGAGCACAGGACAGAAAATTCAGCAGGGGCTCAGGAATGCTCAGCTGTCTGAGGCAGGTGTCCTGGAGCTTACGGGCTGGCTCTTGTCTTTATCCACCGTGGCTTCCATCTCCCAAATTTGCTGCCCATCTGCAAAACAAAAATGCCAGCATCTGAAGGAACTATTACAGACCAAAGATTAAAGATAAAAACCTACCAGCTCGTGTTTACCTGACCTTATTTATCTATCACCTCATTTCAGTAAGGTGTCTATGTGTGTGTATATGTTTATGTTTACATATTTGAATATTTCCTTTTCCAAAAGGGAGATATGTTGGCAATAGAAAACTGAGCAACAAACTTGGGAGATGGCCATTGAGGCCAGACCAGGCAAAAATTAGTGAGACGTTATCTCAGAAACAAGCCACGCAAGGTGATGCACACTTGTAATCTCAGCTACTCAGGAAGTGGAGGTAGGAGGATCAAAGTCCAAGCCTGGCCCAAGTGAAAGTTTGAGACCCTATTTGAAAAATAAACTAAAAAGCAAAAGAGCTGGAGGTGTGGCTCAAGTGGTAGAGTGCCTGCCTAGTAAGCATGAGGCCCTGAGTTCAATCCCTGTTACCACCAAAATTAATTAATGAAATAAAGAAAACGGGGCAACAATAGAAAAGTAAGAAAAATGAGTAGAACTTGCTCAGAGTCCTACCATCATTATCTTTTTCTATCTTTTTTCTCTTTCTTAAAAAAAAAAGGTATTGTTATACATTACACTTGATTATATGCTTTGTTCAACCAAAGGCTATTTCCAAAAGCTTCTTCGTATGCCAAGACTGTCACAGGGGCCTCGGTACAGGCCTCTGACTATCCCAGACATGCTGTCCCTATTGTCTGAGAACACAGGTGGTTTAGATATTTTGTCCTAAGTCAAGAGGGAACCCGGTGACCTGAACCATGTCCTGTCTCATGAGTCACCAGAGAGCGTGGAAACACAGGAGCCCACCCTCCACCTTTCCGGTCCCAGACAGCCTGGATGTCATGTGAGTCACAAGAACAATTGAGAAGGCTTTGCTCCACAGTCAACTCCCCTTCCCGAGAGCACAGCACTAGTTCCCAGGCTAAGGCCAAAAAGTTGAGCCAAGCAAAACTCTGTGCTTGAAAATTACAGATTTCTCTTGCTGACCACCTACATTGGTCACTGAGCAACTTTCAGCTGAGACAAATCATTTCCACAAGTGTTTCCAGGGGGTTTTGTGGAAGACCAATTCTTCAGGGTATTAAATGGTTTTTAAGAAAAGAAAAAATTCTACATGCTAATAAGTGTTTGGAAAATGCTGAGTCAAAGTCAGAAGAGTTTCTTGACTGCAGGAATCACCTACAGAGGCTCTCCAAGGTGGGCTTCAGGATAAAGGGCACTCCAACATTCAACTTCAGAACCCCTAATCCCTTCCTGGATTGCAGCTGGGAGCATCTTCTGTGATAGCTCCAATTTGTCCCCACTGGCCTCAGCTCCAGAGTCTCAGAGACCCCCTTCATCTCAAATTAACACAAAGTCTGAAGATTGCTACTGAAGCCCTGCAAACCTGGTGGTCTTGCAAGGACAAGTTGGACACTGGTGGCTCACGTCTGTAATCCTAGCTACTCAAGGTAGAGATCAGGAGGATCATGGTTCGAAGTCAGCCCGGGCAAAAAGTTTGCGAGCCCCTATCTTGAAAAAAAAATCCCAAAAAAAGGGCTGGTAGAGTGGCTCGAGGTCTAGGCCCACAGTACTGCAAAAAAACAAAACAAAACAACAATAACAAAAAACCAGAAAACAAGCTGGAGCCCTTTGTAACAACAAGTCTGAAGCTTGGTCTCACAGTTCTACTAGGTGCAATTGCTGAAGTGACTAAGGAAGATGGGAGCTATGGCAAAAGGGGCTGGGTGGCTCAGTGCCTGCCTAGCATTCTCCAGGCCCTGAGTTTGAGTCCCAGTACTGCAAAATAAACAAAAAAGAAGGAAGAGGAAAGAATGCACCAATCCTTACTAGCATGAGATCCAGGTGGGAGGGACCTAGTGACAGTCATTGCTGCCTCCCCGCTGTACTGGAGGTAAATATCTCATGACAGAATAGACAAGAGTGTCAGTGGCTCCAATGGCTATTTAGGGGACCAAGGAGAGCCAGCAGCTAACGTCAGATGCTGCTCAGAGGAAGCAAGAGAGGATGGTCAGATGGACGGATGGACATTAGGCACCTGGACTTAGTCATGGAGACCTGTGTGCATACAGAGCTCTGTGAAGAGCTAGTCAGGGACAGTCCTCACTTCTATGTCAGAGACAGGTCCAAGGCCACCCAACAGAAACACATGTCCCCTCTCAGGTCCCTCTGAGGTGCAATGACCCCCAGGAATGTAGCTTCACGAGCCTGGCTCAGTTGGGTCCCGTGGCAAGTGTCACCTCTTCACTGGCTGCAGAGTGAGCTCTGAGCTGGACACCGAATCAGAAACCAAGTGAGCCACTTCACCAGAGCCTGGACACCCAGTCAGAAACCCCAGAGGAAACAGTAGTGTGTCCATGTTTGGCTTGTCACCTTCTTGCCAGCCTCTTATTGGCTGAACCTGCTCTGCCTAACAACATCTTGGCTGTCACCGTGCCTGAGTGCCGCTGCTCTGAAAGTAAGGGAGTATTTTCAGATGCTCTTTTGCACTGGGAGGAGACGGTGGAGTTCCTAGAAAAGCCATCGTGAGGTCACACTGGCCCCACAAAGCTTCATGCCCTGCTCTCCTCCTTGACCCGGGCATTGGCAGTAAGGCACAGAGAATACAGAATGGTTGTGCCCAGGAAAAGATGTCACCAGAGGACAGTTGTCACGGCTCTGCTCCTCAGGTCTAGGGACCGTAGAGGTGAGAAGGAAACCTGGTCCTCATTCCTGGTAGGCATGCATGGCAAACCAGGCTCCGTCCACCCCCAGCCTGAGTGTTCTAGGGTAGTGGAGAGTAGATGAGCCAGCCCAACAAGTCAGAGGGGAAACTGAGGCCCAGAGGAGAAGAGTGGTGCAAAGACACATGGTTATTAAATCACAGCCTTTCAGCAACAATTGGTATCATCCAGTACCCAGGGAGAAGTTTCAAGGTTTGTGAGCAGAAGAGGACTGCAATGAGGTCCTACATGGGCGGAAGCCTGACGGGTCACTCTCACTCATCACCATGACCCATTCAGATCTTCTGGAACCTTCCCTACTTTCCTGTGCCCCTAGGACACCGTCCAAGCTCCGCTGTGGCCTTCAAGGCCCTGAGCCTTGCTCCCACTCCTTTTCTGCCACTCCAGGCACCACTGATATTCAGCTCCTCTGGACACTGATGCACACGGAGCACCCTCTGCACCCCATAGATCCTGATCTGCTCCTCCTACACCACCTGGGAGGCAGGTCTGGCCCTTGCGCCATGTTACAGGTGAGGACACCTGGGCACAGAGAGGCAAGAGGCCTGGAGAGGTCACATGGCTCAAGGGCAGGGAAGCCAGATCTGAGCAGGCAGCCTGGCTTCAGAGGCTGGGCTCTTTATCAACCCCCGACCACCACCACCACCAGTACTGCCCATATGGCTCCCTCAGGTTCCTCTCTTCAGGGCTGCAGCCCAAGCAGAGATCCTGGGGCAGTGCAGCCTGACACCCTTACAGAAGGCGAGGCTGGCACACCCTGAGGCCTCCAGAGGTGGGTTGGGGTAAGAAGGCCATCAGTGTAGGAAGAAATGTCTGCCCACTGCAGCCTGCTCTGTCAGGATACACATTGACTGCAACCTGAACCTTCTCAGAAATGGCCTATCACTGGCACTGACTTCCTCTCTGTCCTCATAGCACCCTGTCATTTCATTTCTGCGTACCTAGAACAGGCAGACCCAACTTCGAATCCCTGGTTGCCTCCAACTAGCTGTGTGACCTTGGAGAAGATGCAATACTTTCTGCTTTTTATCCAAAACAGGAAAGGGTCACAGTGCCTACACCCCAGAGGTTTAAATAAGGATTAAGTGAGATAATGGGTGCCGTGCTGTATAGATGCTCGAGAGGCACTGCTCCAAGGGAAGCAAGAAAGGATGGACTGACGGACATTAAGACATTTGGACTGAAGTGTTGAGACCTGGTCCTTCAGTGTACAAAGCTCAGGAACAATCCTCACTCCTGAGTCAAAGGTCCAAGGTCATCCAACAGAGACGCATCTCCTACCTTGATAAGTGAGGATTATTATTACACCTAGTGGCAACGAGTTATTTAACCCTGTTTTCATTAGCCTTTTTATGTCTATTTCAGCATGCATTAATATTGAAAAGAGCCGGCTGGAGGTGTGGCTCAAGCAGTAGAGTGCCTGCCTAGCAAAGTGTGAGGCTCTGAGTTCAAAACCCAGCACTGCCAAAAAAAATAAACACCACAAACATTTTAACTAAGAAATAACATTGTCTGGTTGTAATTATTAATGTCTCTACCTGCAGGACTGGGCTGGAGGTAGATTTTTCTAGCACCGGCATGGTGCTAGATTTTTTTTTTTGCTTTCAAAAAGCAGTTTTCAAGCCAGGCATGGTGGTATACACCTGTAATCCAGGTACTCAGGAAGTTGAGAGTCTATTATTTTAACTTTTAAATGTGAGAGAGAGAGAGAGGGGTCAGTAATATTCATAGAAGCAAAGTGGAAGATCACAGCAAAGCCAGGCGTCTACCTTATGTGTTTTGACCTTTTAGGACAGGGGCTTAAAGCACAGCTCAGGCCTGTGTACTCACGCAGGACCTAAACTCATCTCTGAGCAAGTGAGTCCCCTGAGGGAAGTGAAAGCTGACAGCAGCGACATCTCAAATAAGATTTACGCACCACCACGTGGAAGAAATGCTTAAGGGGCCAGTCCCAGGAAGCGTGAGGTTTGCAAAGTGCCTTGCTGGAGGCCATTGTCCTGGGTCCCTCTTCCCTTCCTGCATCCATTCTCACTGCTGGGCCAATACTGGGTGGGGGGATTGGTCACTGGGAGGACATGATGCGCACTGGGTCACACTCCCTCAAGGCAGTGAGCTTCAAAATAAAAACTGACAGTTCTCTTCAACTGACATTACTCTAACCAGGTTCAAGTCCTGTTCTCACCATTTACTGCCTGCGTAACCTGGCGTGGTAGGTAAACCACTCTGTGCCTTGG